ATATATATATATAATATGTATTATAATTCATTATTTTGAAGATTATTGTCATTGTCTGGGATAATGTACTGAATGTGTTATTGTTACTTTAATATTTATGGCCGTGTTTAACACTGTAGTACATTGTCTGTTGTCGAACTGTACATCCTAAATACAGACAATGAAACAGTCGGTTTTTGTTTAGACTTTCTTTTCTTGGAGTTTTCTGTTCAGACAGTCTTCTCATCTCATGTGTCTCCTCTTCTCGTTCACAGTCGTCACCAACAGAAAAAGCTTTAGCTAATCAGTTCCTCGCTCCCGGGCGAACACCTACAATAGCCAACGAGAGGATGCCTGCCAGTAAAACCGTCCACATGCAGACGAAGGCCCGCTGTACCGGAGAGATGAGGGACGAGCTGCTCGGCACGGTAGGATGAGACATTCACTGTTGAGCTTCAACTAGCTGATGGAGGACAGCGGCATTGTTTTGCTCACAGCTGTTGCACTACTGATTTCACCTCCAGCTAATAAAAGTCAATTTTAGTTTACCATTTTAAAGGTAGCCTAGACTGTATTTGAAGTTTTAGAGTTAGTTATAGACTATTTTCATACCTAACTGCAAAGGTTGGGCTCACTAAATGAAGTACTTGGTACTCTACTTTGGTAGCAAAATTAAAAACTTAATAGTAAAGTCTCCATGCACCACCTTTGGTCCAATTCACCACATTTTCTTCTTTTGTGTCTTTACAGGGGTTGTCAGGGAAAGGTAAGAAATATTTTTGGAATTTAAAGGCATTTTGAATTCAGTAACTTGACTGAAAAATATAACGAATGAATAAGATTTATATACAACGACCATTCGCAAAAACATTCATCTCAAAATGAGAAGAGATGATTTTTGCAGATTTAGCTATTAACTCATTTCCATCTGCAGGTACAAACTGAACAATCACCAGACACTAAAACCATGAATGTACCTGCAACATTACAAAGTCTCTGTCACACTGACCAGCATACAAACAGATCAACGTATAAACATCAGCACATTCATCCAGTGAAACTATAAAACTACAATTTAAAAATCATGATCCCATTAATGTTTACATTTTTTTGCACAATGGGAAAAACAACAAAAGTCTGTACACGCTTTAAGCTCAGCTGGGAGCATATTCCAATGTTTATAAATGAAAAAGCAGATTTTGTAAAGCCACTCCTGGGATTACTCTAGTATGTGTGATGGGCCAGACATTAACTGACTAACTATATGCATTTAAATGTATGTATTTTAAAGCAATTGCGACTAAACTAATTCTTTGTGTACTTCATCCCATAACTTACTTTCTGAAAATATTTCTGTTGCTCTGATTTGATACCTAATATTAAACTTCTGATTAGAGCCCGAACAATATATCCGTTGGCCGATATTCTTGCCCGTTATCGCAGACGTATCAGTATCATATCCTTATTGGCCAATATGTTATCCAATATGCAGCGATATGAAATCTGTTATAAAATGCAAAAAGACTTTTACAGTACTGATGTTTAGCTGTTTTTTCTATTTATTATTTTCTCAGTGTTCATTTCTAGAATTGGTTGACAATTTGTTAAATTATTTAACATGTTAAACAATATTTGAGAAAGCAGCCTTCTGAGTACCTTCTTACATAATCATATTGGTGCAAATTTTTAATTCACTTTAGCATCCACTAAAGCTGCAATCTGTGCATTTTCTCCTCTGAAATCTGTATCAGTCGGGCTCTACTTGTTATCGAGAGTAAGATTTTAAGATCTGTTCTCCTTTCTTCTCTACAGGCACGTCAGAAACAGACTTGCGGAACCGAAGGTAAAGATATTATTATTTCTTTATAGTGTAACAACCAGTGATTGCTCCTGAATCATTTAATTTATCACGTCATCTATGTCTGTGCGTCATCTTTAATGTGACCAATCATGTTTCACTCCTCACTGCTAAATGCTTTTAAAAGACAGGAACCTTTATCACTCTCTGTCGTGACTGTGGATAAGAGCCTGGGCTTTATGCTCGCTGTAAGATACAAATGTTAATCAGGCTGTCCCCGCCCCGTGCAGAGGTCTTCCTCTGGATGAGCGTCAGTCTGCTGCAGAGCTTGAGGCCGTCCTGCAGCACCACCACAACCTGCAGGAGAAGCTCGCTGAGGACATGCTCAACCTGGCCCGAAACCTGAAGAACAACACGCTGGCGGCACAGAACATCATCAAACAGGATAACCAGGTAACTGAATAGAGGCTTTGCACGTATCACAATACGGTATTCATAATACTGTGATACTTTAATCATACTGTATTTACAACATCGAGGTTACTGAAATATGAATTTACCTGTCAAACATAAATTTCACCAGCCAAAATAAGGACACTAATGGTTAACAGATGTTTATATGCTTCTGCTTTGTGGTGAGCCATCATCATCATCATCATCAGCAGCAGCAGTAGTAGTAGTAGTAGTAGTAGTAGTAGTAGTAGTAGTAGTAGGCTCTGACAATTGCTCGTTAATAGTGTATTGTATAGGACATTTGTGGTTTATTATCCAGCTCTATGTCACACTTTACTATTACTAAACTAAACAATGTTGGATTTTAGCCAATACATGTTTTTATATTTCAGATCCTTAATTTTCTGTGGGACTTGTTATTGAACCTACAGTAGTTTGTATTTTTGAAGTTTATTAGGTTTCAGTTTATGTTTCTGTTCCCCAAACATTTTGTCCTCCTGATGCGACAATTTTGTCCACAAGTGGGCAATATAAGATTAATAACATTCACACCCAACCTCCTATAAACCCTAGCTAAAACTAGCCTACGTAGTTCATGTTATTTTATATTTTATAGGTTTTTTTTTTGCTCTCAGTATTTATCTCGATGTTTCAGTTGTGTGCTCCCTTCCCTCGCAGACTCTGGGCCACTCGATGCGTCAGGCAGACCTGAACTTTGAGAAGCTGAAGACGGAGTCGGAGCGATTGGAGCAGCACACCAAGAAGTCCGTCAACTGGCTGCTGTGGCTGATGCTCATCCTGGTCTCCTTCACATTTATCAGCATGATCCTCTTCATCAGAATCTTCCCCAGACTCCGATGATGAGCGTCTACAATCCTGAACTTTTAGTCCAACATCCTCCTGTGTTTACAGAGCAGTAACTACATAGGCCTCATAGATCTATACAGCATGTCTGTATGTGTGATACAGATCAGTAGGGATCACAACCAAAACAACTCAGTTTGATGAACTGAAACATTTGCACTTTTGAAACTGAAATTCTTCCTCTTAACGGGAAAGTTTAAAATGTGGTTTGAAGCATCAGTATTCCTTTTTTTTAAACAGGACAGAACGTGAATCGAGGTGAAGAGCTTCTTGTTGGAGGGCTTTTGGGAGCAGCAACATAGTCTTAATACCCAGACAGCAGGGACTTAGCCTTAATTAATTTAATCCCTCATCAGGTAGGCTGCTAGCCATTCAGTACATGTATGTACTTTCTCACGTAGTGAGACTAAAGTCAAAATCGGCTTTTGTTAAACTTTTTTTTTCACCATGTGTACATCTGAAAGAGGTCAAGAACCGTCCACCATCTACTGGATATTGTCCATGGGTCCAGCATTATATTGAATTCATTGAGTTTAAAAAATCTGACTTATAAATAGCTGTGGATGTGCTAGAAAATGACTTTGACTGCCCCTGTTTGAACTTTTATAAGCACTATATATATGTTTAATAATTGGTTTATAACACTGTAACTTACCTAGCTATAAGAATGTCATTAAGTGTTAAAAATAATTATAAATAACAATTATAAACAGTTATAACTTCTCCTATGAAGACATATTTTATATTATCTGTTAATACACCATCCTCCAGTTCTGAGTGCCCGCAGGAGGAGTTATAGTTATTGGAAAAATACATTAATAAACACTGTTTACATCTACATTATATGTAGATTGTGTAATTATTATTTATTAAATGTTTATATAGTGCTTATAAATGCTAAATGAGGTGATTCAAGTAAAGTGTTACTGTTTAACTAAAATCAAACATTATTACAAATTTCCAAACTGATTTCAAGCATCACTCTAATTTTTCATCTTCTGGTTGAGTTTTGGAAACATTCATCGTGCAGACGTGTCGAGCTTCGTGCTGTTAGGTGGTTTTTTTTTTTTTTTTTTTTTTTAGTTCACCATCTGTCCCACATCCTCAGTCCTGTTTAATGTTTCTGAGTCTGTGTGTTTTAGTGGTTGATTCAGGTGTTAAGATTTGTTATGTTGGTGATGACTGCTGATGTTAATGAAGTAAGAATTTGTTCTCATTAAACGACTGTAACCCCTTAGAAACATTCATATCATTTAGAGCGGCAGTTGTGTGTGTGTGTGTGTTTGTGTATAAGATAGCAAGAAAGGAATTCCAGAAAGTATGAAGACGCTAAATGATCTCCTTTTATCTGTTTTGGTATAATAACTGTGGGGACTTGTGTGTGTTGTGGGAGCTGTGTATGACCTTTTTTCCTCATAAACTAAAATACCAAACTGCGCCCTCTGTTGTTTTGAAAATGTCTGATGCAGTGACTCCATGTGGCCAGCGTGTGTCAGTCGTGTCTTTTAGAATAAGAACACATAATGACGTCCATGACCCCCATGACCCCGATGGCCTGATCAAGCCATGAAACCAAAATGAACCCCACTACCCATTTAGAAGAGGAATGAAGTATGGCTAAATAAAGGCAGATGGCCACAGAAAAAGCACACAGGGACCATATGTGACTCTGGCTAATCTGTGTACTTGTCAGCTTTTTCTCCTACTCAATTTAGCCTGATAACATTTGGGAATTGCTGCTCCAGAACATTATTTTTCATGCAAGCAGACACGCTGAGAAAGCTTCCAACAGGTTAACATTCCTGCTGTGTTGTGACTGTCATCTGAGGCCTGTGGAACAGACTAGCTTGTCCAGGCTTGCAGCTCTGCCCCTGGCCCTTCCTCTCCCCTCTTCCCTGGCTGCTGCCCCACCTTACTGGCTGGCTGGGTCGTGTATTTTAGGATCCCTGGGGGGTATTTTGCCTGGTGGAAGCCGAGGTATGCAGTCCACCAGGAGACCAAATGAGGTTGTGTCACTGCGAAGGATCGTCATCCCTCAGTTTAATCACAGCTGTTTGCGCCTCCATTCTCAGGCCCTCTGTGTGATCTGCTTCTCTGAGGCTGCAGCTCGGCTTTTGAACTGAGGCTACAGTACATGACTTCACCAGCGTGTGTGGTTTCTCATGTTCATTATGGTTGTATGATCCCGTCAGCTGACAGAGAGTTTAGGGTTTAGTTTCCTACACAGACTCCAGAGTCTGGGATGTGTTAAGTTCCTATATTCGGCGAATGCCTCGAGATGTGTGGCGCTCATTAATGGCACTTTTAACCTCTGACCCAGGAAACATGAATGAATTCCTTCCTGCACTTTTTTCCCACAGGGACGCTCTGAAAATAGTGTTTGACGCTCTGTGCCAAAAAATAAGTTGGGTTGTGAATTTAGCTGAATCAATTCCGTACCGTTGTGTAATAAGGTACGTTTTATAAAAGGATTATTAGTGGTCCTGACCGAGACCAGCAATATGTTTTAAAATATGTTATTTTTCTGAAGCAACTTTCTCCTTCGAAACAAAACCATTTATGAAGCACGTTTGCTCAGGAAACGGATATTTGCAATGACTGCCAAATCTCATCTCATTGGCGATGGCAGAATAATATATACTTTTTCTCTATTAGCCTCGACTCCGTCTTTTTTATCTGGACTCAGTCTTGACAACAACAACTCGACAAAGGTGGTTTTGATCAATAATAATATTATTATAATGTTAATTACTTATCTATAAAGCTATAATGCAGTGAAAAAACAAACAACATTAGTTTCTACCACAAATTCTTCATAAATGTAGCTTTTATAAGACTCTTCTTCAGTTGATGGACAAACCAAAAACCAGCTCTGGATAGGGCCGTTTCGTGGCCATCATAGTTTCTCCCTGGTGCTTGGAAAGGGAGGATGAAGCGAGGAAGTTACAATCTGCAACTACTGCTAAATGCCCCTAAATCCCCCACACTGGACCTTTAACATGCAACACGAGACATAAACAAACACATGAAGACAAGAGACAGTTGACATATGCATATAGTGCACACATACATATGAATATGTACATTCACACACACACACACACACACACACACACACACACATATACACGATACATTACTTATGCTTAACAAAATGAAACTCAAGCTGGTTTTTGCTGCTGTCAGACCTGCAGGATCTTTGTTGTGAAGGTGGTAAATGAATCAAATAATCATAATTTAGGAGCAGCACAGTCAGTAAACTATAGTTAGCTGTTCCCCTGATTATTGAGGTGGCGTGTGTGTTGTGTTATTAGTGTGTTTGTAATTGGTTTGATCCTTCTCAACAGCAGAGAGCAGAGGAACAAACTGTTAAACATGAGAACTTCCATCCCCTCTCGGCACAGTGCTGCGCCTGTTAAACACCACAACACTCCAGTCTTTTTAATTTAGTTTTTGGCTGCTGCTACAGGAGGATTTGGGTTGCCTACAGAGATGAAGGAGATTTTTCTTTCATTTTCTTTTTTCTTTTTTTTTTTTCCATGTACTTCCTTGAGGGAGCAAAAGGGTAAAGAGGGCTTTTCTTTTCTTCCTTTTTTTTCTCCTTGCCAGAGTTTTGAAGGTGCTGTAATGTTAATGACCTAATGGGAGCGTAAAAGACTACACTTATTAAGGCTATAATGTGAGTCACTATCTTGCACACACATACTCCCATTCATGGAAAACAGAACTCATCTGCTTCTGTCTTTACTCTTAGTCACTGAGGCAAGGTTTGAAATGGCTCAATATTTATACAATTTACAGTTAAATCTCTGTGAGTCAATAAACCGCTTTATTTTTTTATTGACTGGCTGCTTTTATGGTTAATTTTCCAGTTTTTAGTTCATAGTTTTTCAGTATTTCTTAGATCAGACATGGATCTAGTTAAAAGTTGGTGGCCAGTTAAACCAGCAGGGACATTGCTGGAAATAAGTCCTGTTTTTTATCACTCTGTGTGCCCCAAAAACTAATGTATTACAATCTTTAACATATTAGAAAGTTCTCAGTAAACCGAACCAATTTGGGCACAGTTAACTTTTAACTTCATAGCTACTGATCAGCGTTGCACCGCTGTTAAATTTCAATCTCTTAATCTCTCTTGTCTACACAGGTGCTGGGGAAATGTCTCTGTTTTCATTCTGCCGTTACTGTTTCCCTCAACAGGAGCCGCCTCCATGTGTATGTGAGACAGTGTGTCTCTGTATCTCTGTCTGTCTGTGTGGTTGTGTTGTGTCTGTGGCTCTTCGTCAGTCTGAACACCCTAATGAGGGTTCTTCTCAGAGCTCTCTCACACACATACATATACAGCTGTGTTGTGGCAGCTCCCTGACTGGAGTGTTGAAGTAGCTGAAGCACCTAGAAGGACCACTTTCGTCTGACAGTTGAGGATGAAATCCAGGTTGATTTCAGAGAATTATCCTCCAAGAAGTAAATCGTAGATAAACCAACCAGCCATAACAGTGCTCTCCTTAGCTAGGTGTGTGTCTGTACATGCCTGTGTGTTTTCTGCCTGTGTATGCATGTATGTTTATTGCAACCCAAAGACCTGAGGCATAAGTCATTCCCTGCAGCCCCCTATTGCCCCTCTTCCACTCTGTATTTTGAAGCCTAGTGTCAACATGTGGGTTAATGCACTGAACCTTCCAGCCTGTTTGTCAGGCAGCACGGCGCTGAAAGAGTCCCCAGTGGAAGAAAAAACCCTCCCTGCTGGTTTCTGCTCAGCCTTTGATGTATAGAGCCCAGGTAGTGCTGCTGCTGGGAAGCTTAAATTCTTGGTTCTTTGCTCCTTCACCTTTTACTGATTCAGGATCTCCCAGCAGGCAGGACCGAAGACCTCTGCAGTTGCTGCTACTACAGGAGGCTTTGTGGCTTGAAGCTGCTGCCTCTCACTTGGTCGTAAGAGCAGCAGACTTATTAATATTAATTATTATTATTTTGGGAAATATGTTTATTTGCTGTCTTGACAAGGGTTAGATGGTAAGTATGCAGCTGAAATCAGTTAGCATAAAAGCTGGAAAACAATCTTGGCTCTGTCCAAAGGTAACAAAGTCCACCTAGCAGCATCTCTAAAGCTCACAAATGAATACGTTTTGTCCGTGTAAAAATTATTAAATGTTTTAAATTTACCATTTTCACACATCAGTATTTGCACAGATTAAACAAGCAAGATATAGCATTAGAATTAGTTAGATTTAGAGGAAATCATATATCACTATTTTTATAATTGATTAATAGCTTAAGTTATTTATCAAGCAACATTCTCTGGTTTCAGCTTCTTACATGTTAGGATCTGCTGCCTTTCTCCGGTTTATATTACACTTGTGTTTTGGGGTTTTGATCTGTTGGTCTGACAAAATAAATAAATTGAAGACGTCACCTCAGTCTTAACTGATTAATCAAAAAACATAATAATGACTATATTTTTCAATAATGAAACCAAAATCTTTAGTTGTAGGCCCACTTCAGACAGAGCCAGACTATAGCTATTTCCCTGTTTCCAGCCTTAATGCTAAGCTAAGTTAACCAGCTGCTGGCTGTAACTAAATTGAGAGTGGTCCTCTCATTTAACTCTCAGGAAGAAGCGTATTTTCCCAAAATGTCTAATCATTCCTTTAAGCTGCTGTTTGACACTAGAATCAGGACGTGGGTATGAAGTCGCAGGTGGCTCTAGAAGCAGAGCTTGTGTTTCTCTGAGCCTTTGGCCAAAGACAGGGAGGAGGCCTTGAGGGTGAAAACCGCCAAGGACGTAAAGGTGCTGCAGACATTATGAAGCAGTAGCAGGACCCTACCAGTGAGGATTCAGGCTCTTCCTGAGGCTGGGGCCAAGACTGGGAAGTGTCCTGGGGGTGAGGGGTGGTATGTGGGAACCAGGCGCACCTCTTCTGGGGCCCCTCAACTGTTCTACCCCAGGAGGCCTCGAGCTGCTACAGCAGGTGCAGGCCTCCTCCTAGAACAAGAGAGGCACCTCAGGGGAGCAGATTAGGGGTGTGTATGCATGTGTGTGTTGGGAATGTGGGTGTTATATCTTTCTGTTTTTGCTTTCATCAACCAGGTTTCCCTCCAGCTTCAAATTCAGCTCAAACCGTTTTTTTGCGAAAATGCAAAATTTACCCAAAACAAGTGAAACTGCTTTCGAGTTCCAGATGAAAATAATCAAATTCTTGTCATTGTGGGTGTGGGGTTGATAAAAAAGGGATGAGGCCTTGGCTAAACTGTTATTTGTGAGGATGTTTGAGACCAAGGTTTTCTTTCAAGGATAGTTTCCACGTCATTCATCACATGTTTTGTCCGCTGAGTTGGTATGTCAAGGCCAACCAGATGGTCTAAGATTAATTACAAATCCAAAAGTGCTACATTTTGGCAAAATTCTTCTCCAAGGTTTTCAGCAATATGTTGCTTTAT